TTTAGTACAAATGCTAGGACTGCATGGTACTTTGGATTCTGTTCCAAACAAAGTACTGAAAAGAATACAAGACTGTAAATATAAATTTACTTGATTCGAAAATGATTTTTACAGCGTAGGTAAGATTCCATTATATATCTGTCAGCATGTTTTCTATTCCCTGAATTACTATTTACCCTCAGATTTCATTAGTAATTACTTGTCATTTAAAGAAAGGATTTGGAAATTTCCAAGCTTTAGAAATTCACAGAAGATATTTTAAAAATTGCTTGGATTTTCACTATAGAACATGTTCCTTTCTCTCCATGTTGCAAATATGCTTCTTGAATCCACTGACTTACTTGGGTTATGCTTGATTCCTTTCAGTAAGATGTTAACCATTTCATTCATATATGTAATAGTGGCTGTCATTCCTGGTTCTGACTTTTCAAAACCATAGTACCATTTTGTTTTACTTGGAGCTATTTTGAGTTATATAATACAATAGCTTTTCTGAAAGAAAGAAATCACTGCATTCCATAATATGCATAGTTCTTCACTAGATATAATTCTTGAAGTTAATAGGTAAAATATGCAGCCCAGTCTTATTCATCTTGCTACTTTGGGTAGGTTTGTTGGTTTATATTATATTCTTGAATGTAAATAATAACTGATTTCAAGCTCTTCATGGTTTTCTGCCATCATTTTATACAGTTCTGTATTCTCTCTTATGTTCATGAAGTGAAGCTTGTAATATAAGAGTGGTAGCCCAGCTTTCACCCATTTTACCCAGAGCAGTATTTAAATTATCAACAACTAATTTTAAGTTCAGGTACTTGTAATAATTACTTCCATGTAATGTTCCAAAGGCACTTTTTCAAGAGGCAATTAGACTTTCTGGTTTTTCTTTGAAGACGTTTTGTTTCTCATCCAAGAAGCTTCTTTAGCTCTGACAGGATGGTGTGGAATGGAGGGAACTGAAGCAGCTTCTTGGATGAGAAGCAAAACATCTTTTTTAAAATTTAAAAAAAAACCAGAAACTCCCGTTGCCTCTTGAAAAAGCATCTTTGGGAGAACCATGACCTGGATGACTGAGAATCTCCATAGACATACTTCTACGTAACTCTACCTGTTCCATTGAGAACCAAGAATCTATAAAATGTTTCTAAGGTGACATACAGAAATAATTTCAAAAATTACCTTGCAACAGATTGGTCACCGTAGGTGATGCCACACTGGAAGACAAGATCATGATGAGAAGGCCTCTCCAAAGAAAGGGGAGATAGTGACTTCTGAGAAGGGACATGATGACCTTTCCAGCTCATTCCTACAAAATTTTCTGAAAAGGTTGTGATCCGGTCAGCCAGCTCATCAATAGTAATGCTGCAGGAACCAAATATGCGAAAAAAGCCCTGCATTTCCTGGAGCAAGAATCGTATTTCTAAGACCTCTGGTTTGGGTTTCAGCAAATTTTCTTGATGTAGGAGATCAGCCACAGAATAAAGTCCATAGAAGTCAGCTTCTCTCCGCAATCTCCTGTAGTCTGAGAAGTCACTAGGTAGGGCAAGCTGGAGCGTTCTTAAGCTATCCAAAATATAGCTGAACAGAACTCCATCACGGTCCACAAAATACTGGCCATTTAGCAACTTAAATTCAGGGTCATTGCCATTCAACATTCTTGCCAATCTTGACTCAGGGAACCTTTGTAGTGTAGAAGGCCTTGTGGTAAATTTAAGCCCACCCACATTTAAAACAATTACATCTTGATTACTCATCCTCTTCTTCACAGGAAAATTGAGTTGGCAGTAGATATATCCCAATATTATACAAATTTATGCAAAAAAACCCACCCTTAATTCAATTTCTGCTTATACTTACAGTAGAACTTCACAAGCGGAAGATTGCCCAGCAACAAAAACAATATATGTACACATTGCATTGTTTACAGGATTGGTCTCCCGGAGACTTTGTAACTAAACGATTTAAAAAGACAGCAGAAGCCTCACAACTGGTATTCCAGGAAGTTGCTAGAGATTTGCCAGTCTTCAATGTTTATTTCCCCCCTGAAAAAAGGTCATTATTTTAGTGTAGACTTGGTGTAATGGTTAAGGGTAAAAGTTAAAAACTGGGAGATAGTTAGAACTAAGCCTTGCCTTAGGCACAAAATCAATTGGGTGACCTTGGCCCAGTCACCTTCTCTCAGCTCTAGGAAGAAGGCAATGGCAAACTACTTCTGAAATCTTGCTAGGAAAACTGCAGGGACTTGTCTAGGCAGACATCAAGAGTCAACACTGACTTGAAGATACACAAAAAATTTCATGGAAAATTCAACCTTACTCTATACTTCTGCCCACAGTCAGGATAACTTATGACTGTGGAGTTGTTTAAAAATGAATTTATTTGCTGAATTTCTGGATCTCTTCTTGATTACTTTCCAAACCCAAATAATCTTATTCTTGCTACTCAACAAGAATTACAATTCTATATATTGTGCGGGTCGAAAATTAAAAGCAAATGATCAACTTTGAAAATTCAGAACTGAAGTTTCATAATATAGCAATAGTGGTTGCATTTTAGGCTATCTAAACAATACTACAGACCATATCTTTGTTTCTTGAATCTGGTAGCTACCGTATTTATTATCCATTAAAGCAAAGATTTGACTTGGAAGTTCAAGTCAGATTCAATGATTCAACTTAAATTCTGAACTTAAATCAATTTGGCAAAGGATACATTATTGAATATAAAAAATAATAATTTGGCAGTGCGTATTTCAACAGTTGGATTACAGTATAGTGCTACAGCATACAAACTCATCTTGGTGCACACTTTGTATTTGTGCACAATCCTTTTCCTATCTAGGGAGCAATATATTATTGTGATTAAGAATATTAACATCTAATTGAGATGAAGGTTCATATTCCACTCAACCATAAAGCTCATTAAGAGAGGCTCTGAATTATCTACTTTGTTGTAAAAGAAAAAAATTGTTGTAATCTACTTTGTTGTTAAAAGAAAAAAAATTAATGGAAGCCAAATATACAGTGTAAGAGATTTCTCTCATCAATTTCCCACAAATTTTATTTATAAAAGGGGTCATTAGATACTTTCACTGAAGCACAAATTGTTTATTACAGTAACAGAGGAAGTAAATAAAACCTAAATAGGGTAGTATACAATATGCAATATACATAGTGGTATGCAAATTAATATATACATATTATTCAGTAATCTTAAAGTATCTAAATCCAGCAACATATGTATTTATAGTCAGGCAATGAGAATGTTAATATGTCAATGAAGATGCTCAGCCATCTGGTAGTGTTTTCTGGAAGTTGAGTTAGGACAACTGGATTTGTATGATGGTAATTGAACTTGCTTTCTTGTTGGTTTGAACCAACAAGAAAGAAAGTTCAGTTGCCATCTCTTAACTTCCAGACAATGAGAATGGTATTACAATAAATAAAAAAAATGGTGCACTGAGAAGGTCCACTCTTTACAATAATTTCTTTCCTGGTACATTGTTTTCTTACATTATCTTCTAATGGTCTTGCTCCCCAGAGCTGTTCTTGCTTAGTTTTACTTTTGTAGTTTAATGAACATTCCACATGTATTGGAATACTCAATAGTATTCCAAGTTCTGTAACCATAGGTCCACCAAGTTATACTATGGTGTTGCAAATGTCCAAACTTTAGTTTATTTTTCCATTAGTTATCACTCAAGATTAGTATTTAAATGTCTATGGAGATTCATAGTCATTTAGGTCATGGATGTCATAAAGGTAAAGAATGCAAATGACCAGCTGTCTGCAAGGAATGTAAATCCTTCCATTCCCCACCATCCAATCAAAGCTGAAGAAGCTTCTTGGATGACAAGCGAAATGTCTTTAAAGAAAAACCAGTTGCTTCATAAAAAAAGCACCTTTGGGATTCATATTTATTAAATATTGATGTTGACTGTAAGATTATGGCTTTTGTGAAATTATCCATCTTGACAAGATTGTATGAATTCATCCGTTTTGTTTATTCAAACAAATCTAACTAGTTTAAAACAAATCTAACTTGTGATACATGATCCTAGTCATTCTTAATCAATGGGGTCACAGATATCACAGCCAAATCACCATCACATCTATTCTTAAACATGTTTATCTTTGAAGACTTTTAAAATTAAAGCAAGGCCAGCTTGCATAATAAAATAGCATAACTGTAACCATTCCATAGCTTTTTTTTCTATTATCACTTTGGTTCTGTAACGCCTCCCCCCAACTCTTTAATTACTTTCTTGCTTATACATTGTACATATTATACTTGGATTTGCATCCAATTGTATTTTTCTAGGGAATGAAAGAAAATGATTTAGGGATGATTTTTTTCATTAAAACACCCTTCAAAACAGCACAAATCAATCAATCAATATTTATTTGGTCAACAACAAGCAAAACGTAAAAACAAAGTGAAGCAAATACATACAATAATATACTTAGCAGAATAAATCACAGGGCATTCTTTATTACAATGACAATATAGTTGTTGCCTGGGTGATAAATCTAAAGCATTAATAGGTATAAAATAAAAATAAACCGATTCTGATCCTTTATTGAAAACCAGTTTAAAGTTAACAATTAATATTCCATACCATGCTAAATGTAATCTTAGGGATTACTTAACAGGTGTACGCAATTTTCTATAATTCCTGCAGCTTCCATCCAGTTAATTGAAATTACATTAATTTTCCATTTAATTCCACCTCGGAATAGTTACTTTCAAGAATTCAACAGTAAATTGTTTCAGCTCTTACATGTTTCTAAGATGTTCATAGTTAATTTTAGGGGATGCTGGTCACTTTCTAATCATGAGTCTGCCTCCAGCCTTTCAGAACAGTAAAGAGGCTGTGGTGTATAGTTATGCCTACTAACTAGAACTACTAAAATGGATTTCTGTTTTCCACAAGGAAAGTCAATGGCAAAGCCAGCAGGACATCAGAAGTTGCTCCTGCTCCCACTGCTTTTTTGCCTGCCTGTGATCATTCTATTTCTCTGTTTAAATAAAGAAATGTCTCTCAAACAATGAGCAAAAAAGTTGTGGGTAGTCTAGTCACCATTTAATGTACTGTAGTATCTTCTCCATCACAGTTGATGAAATTCACTACATATGAACTACAGTAGTGATATTTTAGTTATGTCTTGTCTGAAAAAAATCAAGCTGCTACATCATTTCCTAAATTTGCATGGTTTCCTTCCATAGGTGAATTGGGATCCTGCAGGGCAAAAAAACATTGAAGAGCTGAAGACAGGTGCCACGGATGTCGGCCTTCAAATTGGAATTGACCATGCACACATATTCTTGTTAAAAATACAATATACAGAATTAGTTTTGATTTTTCTTGTGGAAATTTTTTAGCATTCAGTTTTTATTAAAGAATTAATTTTAAACATATAAAACCTTTCATTAATATGGAATTTTATCATGTATTTTTTTCTGACTTACCAGTGAACCATTGCGAACATAAATGCACCCCACCTCTGGCAGTGGGGTACCAAAAGGTTCCGCCTTAGGCCCAGTACTCTTCAATATCTTCATTAATGACTTAGAAGAGGGGATAGAAGGGAACTTGACAAGCTCAGGATCAAAAAATATCTTGATAGACTTGAACAATAGGCCCTATCCAACAAAATGAAATTTAATGGGGAGAAAAGCAAGGTTTTAAGCAGGAAAAACCAAAGGTACAAGTACAGATTAGGCAAAACCTGGCTCAAAAATAGTAACTGTCAGAGGGACCTTGGAGTCATAGTGGACAACCACTTAAACATGAGTCAGCAGTGTGCAGCAGCAGCAGCCAAAAAAACTTGGTTGTATAAACAGGCATAGAATCCAAATCACATGAAGTATTAGTACCACTTTATAAAGCCTTAGTGAGACCACACCTGAATACTGGATCCAGTTTTGGTTACCACATTGCAAAAACCATGTTGAGACTTTGGAAAAAGTGCAAAGAAGAACAACAAAAATGATTAAAGGCATGGAGACAAAAACATGCAGGAATTGGATTTGGCTAGCCTAGAGATAAGGACTGGGGACGACAACATGGCAGCAGTATTCCAGTATTTGAGAGGTTGCCACAAGGAGGAGGGGGTCAACTTATTTTCCAAAGCACCAGAGGACAGGACAAGAAACAATGGATGAAAACTAATCAAGGAGGGAAGCAACCTGGAGTTAAGGAGGAACTTCCTAATAGTGAGGACAATTAACCAGTGAAACAGCTTGCCTTCAGAAGTTGTAGGTGCTTCATCACGGAAGGTTTTTAAGAAAAGGCAGTAATCTATCTGAAATAATATAAGGTCTCTTGCTTGAGCAGGGAGTTGGAGTAGAAGATCTCCAAGGTCCCTTCCAGCTCTATTCTGATTGACTGAATTTTTAACTCAGCACTAGCCTGGATATCATTCTATATATGAAGTGGTAGTAGTTATCCTCATTTGTATATTAATTATAGCTGAAATGGCCACCTGCATAAAGTATTCAGCCCTTTAAATTCATTATCAGACTACAAACACACTAAAAAACTTACATCATCGTAGTACCAATCATCATTATAAATGAAAAGTATGTTAAAATATGCAAAGCCACTGGCTAACATTTTACCCACTGCCTACTGATTTTGGGGAGAATGATTTACTTTCCTTCCCTACTCCTCTTAAATTGTCAGCCTTAAATTGGTCACCCTTGCCCTTAGTAAAATCCCAAATCCAGCACAGCACAGATCTTAGGAATTTTTCTTCTTCTAATAAATCATAATCCTGTTGAAATGCATTAAGCTTTGCTTTTTCCATGACGATGGATGATTTATAACCCATCTCTAGCTGCCTAACTTTCCAGTCCTGCTTTGAAGCATTAGTTGTTGTACACATTGTACACAGACCATCCTTATGGACTATTCAATCAGTGACTATTCAAAGTTATGACAATGCTGAAAAAAATTTCTTCCCCTTCCCTCATTGGAGAAACTGGAGAGAATTTTTCAAAGGAATATTGCAAGCCATTTCTATAGTTTGCCTAGGACTCCCACTCTGGAACTGCCACTATGATCACATAGCTTTCCATCTGCCGAAGACACTCAGCCCTTGAAAGCAAACAAAAGTCAACTACAGGTATTCCTAGAATTATGATGGTAATTGAATTCCATCATTAAGTTCATTTGTAAAGCATGCCGCATGACTGCATTGCTTAGCGATGGCAATCCCTGCAGACCCTATTGATGAAGAATCATTAAGTAAACACCTTGTAACTTCCTGCCAGCTTTCAACATACAAAGTCAGCAGGGAAGCCAGCAGGAAGTTGCAAGTCCCAGGCACTCTGCAACCAGGTCATCAGGAAGGTAAATGGCTCCTGCTGTGTAAGAAGGAATTAAGTGGGATGGGAAGATGTGGCATGAGCACATCGTTTGGAAGGGTGTGTAGGTGGCAGAGATGAATGCAAAGGGGCTGGGGGAGGGTGCGCAAGTAAGTAGTCTTGATTGAGCAACTTGTGACTTTCCCGCTGGCTTCTCTATTGTGGGAAACTGGGAGGTAAGGTTGCAAAATGCAAACATCAGATGAGTCACTTGACAAATGTCCAGATTGTGATCATGATTAAGATTTTGGGACAGCCAGAACTTTGAGGACCAATCATAATCATTACTGAATGAGTGGACTACCTGTAGTCTTCTCTTTCTAGTTGGAAAGAACAGTTGTAGCCATATAATTCCTCATTTAATGACTTCACTTAGTGGCAGAGTTGATGGTCCTGATTAAAGTTGTTTGCAAAGACCTCTACTGTTGTAATGGTATGTGGAATTTGGGAGGCTGAGTAAAGTAATGCTACTTAGCAAAGGTCAAATAAGAGTGAGCGCAAGCCACAGGGCATAGTAAGCAGAACAAGAGACTCAGGAAGAGCACACCCCCCCCCCCCAAGTTGAGGCTGTAAAAGTGACGGTAACAGGACTATATTTTTAGACTTGCAAGACT